AACCTAAATACAAAAAGGAACGAGCAAAATGGCGCACATATGAACCAACTAAAAAGCTTTTCACAACGATATTCATAAGTTACCGAAACTTCAACTGAAAAGACAGAGGTGCGAAAAACAGCCTCTTAATATGACTGACCGTTGCTCCCAATGAATACGACAAGACATCGCAAGCAAACTTCGTCCCAACGCTCATTTTTCCCACAGCCACTGTTCGCTTTTCAGCCTTCGTCAGCAACCACGTTTCGCATCCGTAAATGCCATGTTTTTAGCACCGTGAAGCAGAGTGTTTCCGGTCCGACACTTTGAGGACATCGACAATGCTGTGGAATTTTTGTGAACCGGCACCCCCTTTTATATAGAACCTCCGAGACTGCGATGCATATTTACTTCCTGGCCAACAAAGACGCAATCATTAAGTTTTCCTAAAAAATCAAAATCTCTACTCGCACTATGAGCATATCGGACCTTGCAGCAAAACTGGTTCTCGACATATCCATTTTTCAGGCCCGAGTTGTCACATATACACACCCGTGCAAGTTTACATCAAAAAAATACATACAGACACGCAGATCCACACGTAACACCGGAAAATCGACAAAAAACCCAAAAATAAACCCCCGCGGCTACCGAGTACCGGAAGAGCTCATCCGGAAATTCTACAGAGCCTAAGCTATTCGCGGCCCATGTGGTGCGCGGTATTTTGCGGCGCATAGGGCCCGTGTGAACTTTTTTGTGGGATGTTTGGAAAAATCTCGGATTCCAGTGTGGGGTAGATGTAATTCGAGTTTATTACCGGCCCTCTTTGTAAGGATGGCCACTATCCACCTCTATCGCCGGGATAGCCACTACCCATCCACCACTGCGACCTATTTTTATTTAGCTTCTACTTCTGTTCTGGGAAGCTTCGGCTCTTTTATTTAACTAATACTCCTATTCTGAGAGCCTCACCACCTTTGTATGCATTAACTCTTAACGTACTATGTATTAATAAATATGTATATAGGACGCGACGCCGTACACACGTACACTCACTTGCACACAGGGCATAAGACTAGTCTAAGAATATTAACTATTAGGGTCGCGATAATCAGACTTTTTTTCAAAACAAACTCGCAAAAATGGGAGAAAGGGGGGGGAGATGTGAAAACAAAACACGCAGATCCCCTTACATTTCCATTAGTCTAAGTGGGAAGTGAGGAACAGAGTTATCACTTACTTTATTCGGGATCTTTTGCAGTCATTTGAGAATGCTTGGCCTGTGCTAACTCCCTCTGAACACATCAAAGATCAAACTGTGGAGGGGGTCAGTATGCCCCGTGTAACAAATAAAAAAACATTTATGTTTATCAAGAACAACTCGATGAGCACACACACACACATACACACACACACACGCACACACACACATACACACACACACATACACACACATCACACTGATTTTTACAACAACGTACACAAAGATTTCTCAAAATGGCTGAAAGACGGAAAGAGAGGGGTGAATGACAGCGAAATGAACGTTGTTTCATTCGTTTAGAGTAACCTTAGCTTTCAGCCAATTTTCTTCGGTTTGCGTGAGCCGTTACTTCAGAAGGTATGGTTCGGCCTAGCAACAGTCGCAAAAAACCACTTAACAGTTTCACCCTCTTCAGCGGTCCTACTTGGGCCGCGTCCAATTTTGGTTCAGCCTTCTATGGCTCCTCTGATTCCACAGGTGCTTCAGGACTGGATACCAGTTAGCCATATACGTTCAAACGCATAGCAATAACCCAGGCTGGAACGCACCAGGCGGGCCGGTGCGATTATGCGTTTTTGCATTTTTTGTGCCGTACCAAGATCGCAAGGAAACACAGTAGCTAACCCTGTGACACACTGACCCTCGAAGCTCGGGAAGTTATTTATGCAGCTATGTGGTATGTCAGTTTTAGATATCGACTTCAGTGATCCGACAAATGGAAAGTTGCTGGTCTGCGAAAAAGGCCCCACTAGAAGAGTTAAATTTGAAATCTTTTAGTCGCACATGAGTAGAGAACATTCCCTTAAAATTAAAGCCTTCAGCTTTCCCCGTCCCCGAGACAGCAGTTAAGCAGCTGAATTTGAAATTTTTTGGTCATACATTATCCTAAATTTTCAGCTTTGTAGCTTCTTTCGTTCCCGGGTTAGTGATTTTCGTGCCAAAATTCCTGTGTGCATGTACGTGGGCCCCAGGTGCTTATAAACACCTGATTTCGGTCGTACATAAGTAGGAAACATCCCCCTAAAGTTTCGGCTTTCTAGCGTCTCTCGTTCCCGGGTTAGTAATTTTCGCGCCAAAACTTGCATGCGCTCGTGTTTGGATTCTGGGCGCTTCTAAATACCTGATTCTGCACGCACATGAGTAGGGAACATTCCCCTAAAGTTCCGGCTTTCTAGCTTTTCCCGTTCTCGGGTTAGTAATTTTCGCGCCAAAACCTCCACGTACCCATTCGTGGGCCCCGGCGCTTCTAAACACCTGATTTTGCTCGTGCATAAGTAGGGAACATCCCCCTTTGGTTTCAGCTTTCTAGCGTTTCTCGCCCCCGAGTTAGCAATTTTCCCGCCAAAACATTTACGTGCCCGTGCGCGGAGCACAGACGTGCGTGAGAATTGATGCCGCAGTCCTGAGTTGGCACTTGGCTAGGGAACACACTGGCAAAATTCCAGCTTCAAAGCTTGCGTGGTTGACGAGTTGAAATACCCGGACAGACGAACAAACAAACAAACAGACACACACACTAACAGGGTCGTTGCAATATGCGTTTTTGCTGCCTGTTGCATCTGTCTAGCGCTGCACGGCGAAAACGCATAAAAATCTAAATACGCAAATGCCTGAATGTCCATTTACATTTGGATGAGGGCGGTGCGTTTTTGCTGGCGCTGCAGTGCAAAAAGGCATAAAAAGTAGCAGCAAAAAATCATGAAATGTCTGAAATTGCGATGATGTCAAGTTTAAGGACCAATACCAATAACTTTTATTTCTTTTGTGATAATCAACAGATAACAAACAGAGCTGTAAAAATCAATCAGATAATGCCAATTTTATTTGCAACGTCCAGCGCATCGTAGTCGGGTGCCAAACG